CAAGCAAGCAAAGACAGAAACGTGTTTCTGATAAGCACTGCAGAAGAAAGTTATGGGAAGGAATGATGGAAAAGAGAAGCTGTTTCTGCGTGCCAGGTCAGGCCTCTGAGGTGACTTTTAAGACCAGCCGTAAAGCCCCAGCAGCAAGCAGCCTTGCAGAGGGCTGGAGGATGTATGCCTTCAGAACACACAGCATGTGCAAAGGCCCCATCGAGGAGAAGGCTCAGTAGGCTGAAGTAACAGAAAGGTGGCCAATGTGACCACAACACAGTGGAAAACTACACAAACTGTAGACAAAGGCGGAACTGGCTTTGGTGAGGCCTCAGTGAAGCCTCAGTGAAGATGATGGACTTTAAGGGGAAAAAAAAAATTGAAGGATATTATATAAAAGGGGAATGACACTAACAGACCGTTGCCTCTTACTCTGTGGAGAAAGAGTTGTAAAAGGGCACGGAAAGAAGCCAAGGCAGTAGTGCAGACAAAAACCAGTATGAACCAGAAGTGGAAAGGAAGGTCTGAGATGCTCTGTCAGTAGAACTGAGAAGATCTGCTCATAAGGCAAGAAACAGGGGGATGGTATGAGCTACTAGAAACAAGATGGTGCCAAAAGAAAACATTTTTTTGGTGGGGTTAATAGGGAATCTAGAAAGATTTTAGACATCCCTGTGCAATGGCCAAATTATGTTGGGTAAGCAGCTAGATATAAGACAGGGGCTGGGAATCAAGTCATATTGGTCAAGTTCTCTATACTGACCCAGAGTGTTTACAAAATACAATAAATAGGTCACACTCCAGAGCACCCACATCAGGAGGTGCACATTTTTAACTTGCCCAGGTGATGCTGCAATCACCGTCCACAATGATTTTGGAGCCCAAGACAGTAAAATCTGTCACTGTTTCCACCCTTGAGAATCCCGTGGTCAGCAAGGAGATCAAACCAGTCAATCCTGAAGGAAATCAACACTGACTATTCACTCACTGGAAGGACTGATGCTGAAGTTGCAATCCTTTGGCCACCTTATGTGAAGAGCGAACTCACTGGAAAAGACCCTGATGCTGGCAAAGATTGAGGGCAGGAGAAGGAGGCGACACAGGATGAGATGGTTGGATGGCACCAGAGGACACTGACTCAGTGGACGTGAGTTTGAGTAAACTCCGGGACGGAGTGAAACACAGGGAATCCTGGCATGCTACAGTCCATGGGGCCGCAGAGTTGGACACAGTTGAAAAACTGAATAAAGTGATTCTGATGTCAAGTAGAGTCTGAGAACCACTTAAGTAAAGAGATTTTACTGTCATGGTTCGTTACCTAAGGATATAACTCGTTATAAAATAAAACATTACATTGAGCAACAACATGTGAAGATAACGGTTTGACTGTCTAATCTCTAGTCATACATTATAGAGGAAATACTCTTCTAATTAGCTTTTTCGAATGATTCTTTCTAACTATCTCTTTCAAATGACTGACAGTCGCTCTGAAGGTGAATAATCTCCTCTATTCCGTAAATATTGTCTTACAAAATACCCAAGAAATATCTCACAAGTGAGTAAATCGAAGTTCAAAAAGGTGGAGAGTCTGGTCTAAAGGGCACCTAATCAATAACAGGGCCAAGACTCAAAAATCAAGATAACACCAACTCCAGTCTGCTTTCCATCACATGAAAATGCCACAAAGCTCACACCCACAGAGCTCGCCACCTGTGAGGTTATCATGCACACACGAAATTACAACAAGATAAAACAGGGTGAGTGCCTTAAGGCAGACAGAAGGGCAATGAAAATAAGGAAAAGTTACTTCTGGATTTTCACACTACTTAAAAATTTTATAATTGCAGAAACTACAAAATCCACCTTTCAAAGTATCCACAAACACTACTCATTAAAAACAAAAAAAAAAGTGACTCCTATACAAAAAGCCATTAAGACTCTTCCTAACTCAATATAAATCTCTTCAAAGAGATCTTTAAAAACAAAAGGGGAGTAGAGGACAGCTGCCTGCAAAACGGCTTCAAAAGTCCGCTAGAGCCAGTCACTAAGGCTGGTGTCCTCATCAGTAAAACGGGGCTTGGGATAAAGAACCTATACACATACTTACTAGTCATTATCACTTATAATTATTATCAGAAGAGCATACAAATAATCTATAACTGCCTGAGATTTTAACATGGAATGCTGGATTTTGGTTCTAACGCATACATCCAACTATCTACCTGAATACTATAGTACTAGAACGCTTCCTAAAAAGTTTACCAATCTTCTTTGCCAACTGCCCCTAGACCACAATCAATCAAAAAGCTCAGGGCCATCTGTACTGACCTTTTCACAACAGTTCTAATGCCTGTAGTTGTTCATCATCCCCGAGCTAGACCTGAAGTTCCTCAAAGGCAAAAGCTTTATTTTGTTAACTTGTAATCATTCACTAATATCTGCTTGGCACTGATTTAGGTCTTGACAATACAGCAATAAACAAAAGTCTCTCACCTCCTAGAGCTTACATTCTAAAGGGTAATTAATAAATACATAACCAATTTGTAATAAGTGCTCTTAAATCAAGGAGGGTAGGAGAGCTAGGAAGTATTACAGGAGCTGGGAAGTTCCTATTTACATAGGTTATCAAGGAAATCCTCACATATACCTAAAACCTGAAATAAATGCAGCACATAAGTCACACAGATATCTGGAAAGGAGTCATCCAGACAGAAGGAGAAGAGCAAGTGCAAAGGCCCTGAGGCAGGGACACAGTTATTGTGCTAGGAAAACTGTGAGACGTCAAATGAAGTGGGGGCAAGGGAAACACATGGACGGGGTGGCTTTGAGAGCAGAATGCCATGAACTGACCTATGTTTTAGGAGATCATTCAGACATCTCTATGAAGAACAGAGAATAAAGAATGGAAGCAGTGACTCTCATTAGGGGGTGGTGACAAAGATTAATTGGATTCTAGTTAGGTTTTAAAGAGAGAACCCACAAGATTGGTTGATGAACTGGATGTGAAGAGAAATGAAGAGAAGAATCAAGGAAAGCTTCTGAAAAGTTCAGGAAGAGTAGAGTTGCCATTAACTTAAACAAGAAAGACAGAAAAGCAATTTTACTTTCCCAGAACCCAGCAAGTTGCCTAGCACACATCAGACATTCAGATATTTATTTGTGAATTAAATTTAACGGAATAAACTCCCAAAATGAAACAGTAAACTCAATGCATTGCTTTACATTCGTTCTAAATTTCCTTTAGTAATGCTTGTTAATTAAACAGTCTTAGGCACCAACACAGGTCCCATGCTAACATGGAAACGCTACACTGGAACACAGCAGCTAATCCTTGTATCTGGAGAACAATTCTCCTGGAGATAAAAGAAAAGTGCATGAAAAGCTCTGTGACACCCTGAGGATTCTTACACCCAAAGTAATTAACCTGTTCATTAATGATGTCATATTCCTGGAAGATAGAGAAGTGCAAATAGAACTAACACCCCGGGCCAGAATTAATTGAAAATTATAACACTTTGTGGTAAATTTTCTGAAAGCGACAAGACTGAACAAGTAACTTCAAAAAATAAGCCATCAGTAACTCAGCATTTTTTCTTAAAACGGCTTTTCCCTCCCTCTCAATTCAATTAAAAATCGCTTGAGAATGTGAATAATCTAGCTCATCTTCCTCCACTTTTTCTGCCAACTAGGGTAAACGAGCTTCACTTAGGAAAGAACTGGGTATCCTCACCTTTAACACTTGGTGTAGTCATACTCCCCGATTTTCTAATCCAGCACCCTTACTACAGCTTCATGAAGAACCACAAACTTGGCAGAAATATTTTCAAAGACATTCTCCTAAAATAAAAAGTTACCAGTCTTTCCTCCCTTCTGGTTACTTTAAGATTTTAACTGAAGCTCAAGTATCACCTCTCTTCCCCTTTAGTCTCCCTAATGCCCCACCCTAACCTACTGTTTTGTTTTTTAAAGAAAACTTTCGGCCAAAATATAGCTTAAAAAACCTAGATCGTTCGGAGAGACTGATCGTCCTGAATTCAGCAACAGGCAGCGCTTTCCTTTTCCTATCAGCACAAGGCCTTGAACCAACCCAAACAAATCTGCTGAAATGCCAGCCAGAGTCCCCGTATCTCCCCCGCTCCCTCCCCCGAAAGCCGGCCTGGAAATAACCACCACTGACCACGGAGCTGAACAGAAAAGAACCAATGGTAAGCAAAAACGGGATTCTGCGAGGCAGGAAGGGTGAGAGCCAGATTTTCAACCACCACGTCGAAGCGAGTTGAGAGGAGCCCGGGCGCCCCACAGATGCATTCCACACGGAGCGGCACACATTCTCCACCCCACACCCCGCGCTCCGAAGGCTCCGCACGCGGACGAGCTGGAGCGAGGGTCCTCCTCGGGGAGGAGAGGCGAGAACGCCTCGAGGGGAAGGGAGTGCCCGGGTTGGGAGCGGGGGGTGAGTGTCCGGGGCCCGAGGCGCGGAGCGCACACAAGCACGCGCGCCCAGGGATGGACGCAGCGGCCCTCCGGAGCAGGAGGCTGGGCGCCCACCACCGTACGCGGAGGCGCGAGCCCCACCTGCGGGCTTTACCCGCGGCGCGGAAAGGCTGGAGAAGGCAGGATCAGGACCCCCTCCCAGCCCAGCCGAGCCCCGAAGAAGGGGGCCTAGGCAGCTACTATTTCCCAGGAAACGGGCTGGGCGCCCGGGGGCGGGAGGTGGGGGCCGCTGCCGACCCGCTTTTCCTGTGCTCGCTGGAATAGCGGGAAGCCCTCCAGGGAGCGGAGCGTGGGGAGCGGGGGAGGGGGCGCACTGGAGCGAGAGCGGGGCGGCGGGCCCTTAGGGGCGCGGGATGGTGGGGGGGGCGCGCGCCGGGGAGGGGAAGAGGGCGCGCACACACACGCACTCACACACCCGGCCCGGAGCAGGGAGGCGCGACCGCCCGCCGGCCTCGGGAAACCCGGCCCGCCAGAAGGGGAAGGAGCCACCCTCCTCCCCGCCCCCACACACTCACCATGTAGAGGGTGAAGGGCAGGCCGAGAAGAAAGAGCCACAGGTAGAGGTGCAGCGCGTTCACGAAGGTGGCCTGGTGCGGGTCGTAGTACCAGCCCCCGCTGAGCGCGGCCCACACCCCCTGCCGGAGGATCTGCAGCGTCTGCGACCCCATCCCCACCCGGCGCCGCCGCCGCCGCCGCCGCCGTCCCCGCCCCGGCCCCAGCTCTGCCTCCGGGTCGCCGGAGCCCGCAGCTGCCCCGTCTATCCCCCTCCGGAGCTCCGGCAGAGCCGGCCGGCGCTTCGGCGGTCGCTAGGGCTGCTGCAGCAGCAGGAGGAGGAGGAGGCAGCGAACGAGGAGGAGGAGACCGAGGAGGAGGCGGCGAGCGGCGGGGCGGAGGGGAGCGGAGAAGAGGAGGAGACCGGCCTCCACAGCGCCGCCGCCATCTTGTCTCCTCACACCCGGGAGCCGGAGCCAGGCCCCCGCCGACGGCGGCCAGCCAGCGCCGCCACCGCCGCCGCCGCCGCCGCGACCCCCGCCGGCCGCCAGCCCTGGGCCCGGCGGAGAAGGAGGCCCGGCGCCCGGGAGGGACCGGGAGCAAGCCGCGCCCCCTTCCAGCTCCTCCTCTCCTCTCCTCTCCCTCCGCCCCTTGGGCTGGTCCCCGCGGGTGCGCACAGCGCCTCGGCCGCCGGGGGCGCCTCCTGCCGGCGCCCGGGGGAAGCGCGCGCGCAGTCGCGGGCCCGGGCCGGGGGTGGGGGCTGCCGAAGTTCGGGGACCGCGAGTCCCGGTTGTGGCAGACCCCAGTGCGTTCCTGGTACCCGAAGCTGGCACGTTCCTCACACTCCAGAAAGCGGGTCTTTTACCCCCGAAACCTTGTCCTTAGAACCTGGTTAGCATCCTGCTGACGTCTCATGATATTTAGGAAAGACCTGAGGAACAAGAGGCTCATATCTGAGCTACTCATTGAAGGCCCGAAAGAATTAGGTACAGCTGATGACGGTTGAAAACGACAAACCGCCCGATTTGAGCAAGAACTGTGTTGGCCCATAAACCGAGCTAGAGGCCCTTGACTGAGAAAAATAGCCACGGCCAAGACTGAACAGATTTACTACTTCCCACGACAGATGAATTAATAGAAGCTGCAAGAGATGTGAAAGCATAGGGTGGAGAGGTTGAGCATTGTATACAGTGATTTTATTTTTATAACGTGCTGTAACTTGTAGCAGTTTTTTGGTGGTTTTTTTTTTTTTAATGGGCCAGTTTAAACAGGATTGAAAGATTAACTGTGTCTCCACCCCAAGTCACAATAGGGTCTTGTACTTTTCTTTTTATAACTGTAAAGAATGGGAATCATTCTTGGCTCTGAGTAACGTTTGTAAAGCGTGTCCTGATCTCATTGAACGAGATTTTCAAAAAAAATGTTTGAGTTTATGATAGCAATAAAAGTACTCTCTACTCCTGGATTAAAGCTGCTGTAATTAATGAGAATAGCAAGAGAGTCCAAAGAAACCGGGGCTGACGTTTTCAGATTGAAAAACCATTGCAGTGTCTCCAGAGTCATACCACTTTCCCGTTAACACATTTCCACACCTATTTCATTTGACCTTCACAATACTCCTGTAAGGGCAGCATAGAGGCTACCCTTATTTTATGGGTTAGGAAACACAAGCTCAAAAATACTAAGTGATTGTCCAAGTTCTAGATGGGGTTGAAAAGACCTCTGGCACCAGCAGTCATCCTAACTGCATGGCCTGAACTTTGGAAGTTTATTTTTCAGTACTCTCCACCTTATCCATTCAGATAAGCGTTTGAACTGATCAATAACTGCTCTGCTGCAGGTCACCTGGGGCCCATTTAAACATATAACCAGTTGTTTTCAAAGTGTCATCCCAGGACCAGGTGTGTCAATATTGCCTGAGAATGTGTTAGAGATGCAGATTCTCAGGCATCACTCCAGAGAAACTCTGGGTGTGAGACCTAGCTTTCTGTTCTAACAAACCCTCCAGAAGATGCTTCCCTTGTGGCTCAGACAGTAAAGAGTCTGCCTGCAATTCAGGAGACCCAGGTAGGATCCCTGGGCTGGGAAGATCCCCTGGAGAAGGAAATGGCAACCCACTCCGGTATTCTTGCCTGGAAAATCCCTTGGACAGAGGAGCCTGGTGGGCTATAGTCGATGGGGGTGCAGAGCCGGAGACAGCTGAGTGACTAACACTTTTCCAGAAGAGTCTAATATGCCTTAAAAGTTGAGACTGCATCGTAGAACACCATCTCCAGCCTTGATTTCTTTGTTTCCTTGTAAGCAAAAAGTCGTGAAAGTCCAATAACATATCTTGAAATTGAGAGATCTGAATGAACACTTTAAAATATATTAATGGGACTTCCCTGGTGGTCCAGTGGTTAGGACTCTTTGCTTCCAATGCAACGGGCATGAGTTCAATCCCTGTTCAGGGAACTAAGATCCCACATGCTGTGTGGTGTGGCCAACATTTTTTTTTAATTAAAATATATTAATATGTCTATCACAATAAACTGGAAAATTCTGAAAGAGATGGGCATACCAGACCACCTGATCTGCCTCTTGAGAAATCTGTATGCAGATCAGGAAGCAACAGTTAGAACTGGACATGGAACAACAGACTGGTTCCAAATAGGAAAAGGAGTATGTCAAGGCTGTATACTGTCACCCTGCTTATTTAACTTATATGCAGAGTACATAATGAGAAATGCTGGGCTGGATGAAGCACAAGCTAGAATCAAGATTGCCGGGAGAAATATCAATAACCTCACATATGCAGATGACACCACCGTTATGTCAGAAAGTGAAGAACTACAGAGCCTCTTGATGAAAGTGAAAGAGGAAAGTGAAAAAGTTGGCTTAAAGCTCAACATTCAGAAAATTAAGATCATGGCATCCAGTCCCATCACTTCATGGCAGATGGGGAAACAGTGGAAACAGTGGCTGACTTTATTTTTCTGGGCTCCAAAATCACTGCAGATGGTGATTGCAGCCATGAAATTAAAAGGTGCTTACTCCTTGGAAGAAAAGCTATGGCCAACCTAGACAGCATATTAAAAAGCAGAGACATTACTTTGCCAACAAAGGTCTGTCTAGTCAAGGCTATGGCTTTTCCAGTAGTCATATATGGATGTGAGAGTTGGACTGTAAAGAAAGCTGAGTGCCAAAGAACTGATGCTTTTGAACTGTGGTGCTGGAGAAGACTCTTGAGAGTCCCTTGGACTGCAAGGAGATCCAACCAGTCCATCCTGCAGGAGATCAGTCCTGGGTGTTCATTGGAAGGACTGATGTTGAAGCTGAAACTCCAATACTTTGGCCACCTGATTCGAAGAGCTGACTCGTTGGAAAAGACCCTGATGCTGGGAAAGATTGAGGGCAGGCGAGAAGGGGATGACAGAGGATGAGATGGTTGGATGGCATCATCAACTCGATGGACATGGGTTTGGGTGGACCCCGGGAGTTGGTGATGGACAGGGAGGCCTGGTGTGCTGCGCGGTTCATGGGGTCACAAAGAGTCTGACATGACTGAGCGACTGAACTGAACTGAAAAGCAAAATTAAGGTAAAATATGCAATCTTACAATTAAAAGAGTGGCCTTGAGTCTTTGTCACAGACACACGGCTTTGTTCATTTGTTTCTCCTAAAAGAGGAAGGCTCTCTGAGCAGGTTTTGGAAGTGATCCCAAGCTTTTCCAACACAAAGAAAGATGTAAACAAGGATAAAATTCCAATACCAAATCAGTTTCCACACCAACAAATATCTGCTGTAGTTTAATGTAAAAGGATTAGCTGTAATGGGGTGAGGTGGACTGGAAGAATGGAGACCAGAACGAGATACAACCATGGAACTGAAGGCAGACCCAGTTGGCGTGATGAGTGTGCAGCCAGAAGACAGTATTTGGAGGCTACATAACCAGCAGCAGCCAGGAAGGCAGCCAGGATCAGGCTGGTTCAACACAGAAAATGTAAGCCAATAGGCAGCTGCTGTGCAGCCTTGGGAAACCCAGGAGCAGACAAAATTGGGAAATTGGCAAGCATTAAGAAAATGTGTTGGGCTTCCCTGATGGCTCAGTGGTAAAGAATCCTCCTAACAATGCAGGACACATGGGTTCGATCGCTGATCCAGGAAGATCCCACGTGAGTGCGGAGCAACTAAACTCATTGTGCCACAACTATTGAGGCTGTGCTCTAGAGCCCAGAAGCCACAACTACTGAAGCCCACTTACCCTAAAGCCTGTGCTTCTCAACAAGAGAAGCCCCTGCAATGAGAAGCCTGGAGCCCGCAACTAGAGAGTAGCTCCCTGAAACTAGAGAAAAGCCTGCACAGCAGTGAAGACCCACCACAGCCATAAATAAATGAATTTTTAAAAGAAAAGGTATTGCTAATAGTAAGACCTCAAGCTCAATGCTGTCTCCCAGGTTTGGATTCCTCTGCCTTGGAGGAACTGATGAAAACAGAATTGAGATTCTTGAGAGGAGGTACGGGGCAAGTTTAGAAGACAAGGACTCGGGGCAACAAGACAGGTATCCAAAGGCAAGATCTGACAGGCATAGGAAGTCTTAGAAATGAAGGAGGAACTTAATACCTAGAACTGAGCATTGCATTTCATGCTGATCCTGGTTGTTTTATGCTGAGGTTCCAGAGTGTTAATAGATTCAGTTCAGTCACTCAGTCGTGTCAGACTCTTTGCAACCCCATGGACTGCAGCACACCAGGACTCCCTGTCCATCACTAAATCTAGAACTTGCTCAAACTCATGTCCATTGAGTCAGTGATGCCATCCAACCATCTTATCCACTGTCATCCCCTTCTCCTCCTGCCTTCAATCTTTCCCAGCATGAGGGTCTTTTCCAGTGAGTCAGTTCTTCACATTAGTTGGCCAAAGTATTGGAGCTTCAGCATCAGTCTTTCCAATGAATATTCAGGACTGATTTCCTTTAGGATTGACTAGTTTGATCTCCTTGCAGTCCAAGGGGCTCTCAAGAGTCTTCTCCAACGCCACAGTTCAAAAGCATCAATTCTTCAGTGCTCAGCTTTCTTTATGGCCCAACTCTCACATCTATACATGACTACTGGAAAAACCATAGCTTTGACTAGACAGACCTTTGTTGGCAAATTAACGTCTCTGCTTTTAATATGCTGTCTAGGTTGGTCATAG